CTCCTTCACCGACCCCAGTCCCGACCACGATCGACCAGGTAGGAACGATATGTAAGTTTGAACCGTTCCAATTTTAATATTCTCCTACCCGACACACACTCATAATTTGAGCGCACAAATACAACAACTACATCACCCCAGAAATTCGATAGGCATGTTGTAATCTGTGGATTAGTGGTAGAGTATTTCGTATTTATGTTTTGTCTTTTAAATGGTTCTGAGTCTTTCTTTGAATGTGTGGCTTTGTGCTGTGAATACGTTAGAGATTGAAAAACATTTTTAAAAGACCCGTTCTTCCAGGCAAGGATACAGTTGATACTCCAGCAGCGATGCCAGAGCCGCGGCGATCCCGTTCGGCTCATGGCGAACACTCGCGTCGGAAGAGTGAACCCTTCGCTCAACATAGTGCATCCGTAGACCGTCGCACCAGTCTCGATGCTGCGGCACTCCGCCCTAATGACCAACACCTTACACATCACGATTCCAAGACGTCCCTAGCTTCTCTCCAAACTGAAAATAGCACTGACGACGCCTACGTCAGATGTAAATACCCAAAATGCTCTTCTCGAGCCCTTTTGTCTGAAGCTAAAAGACATTACAAAGCGTGTCACAATTGCACCACCATGTATTGCTCTAGGGAATGTAGACGAGCTCACTGGGAGAAACACAGAAAGGTATGTCTACACTCTCGGGCGAGCGCACTGTGCAGACAAATCATATCGGCGGCTAAAGAGGATGCGGATTCTTTACATCAAATTAGCACTATAGCTCACAAAGGTTACTTAAGTCAAGGAAGGGGGGTCGTCAAAGTATTTTTTACTAGTCCCGAATCAGCGGAGAAATTCACTAACCACGGATTTCAGTATCTAACTGAACCTGAATACATGAAGTGGACATCGCTCCAACCCAACGAAATGGGCGTGGAACTATACACGGAAGTGGTCAAGCTATGTAAGACCTACAATCCCGAGACGAGGGTTATTTTGTACGTGGCCGTATGTATTATTAGTGAAGTACCCACAAAGGGGGCTGTAAAGTGGGAGAGGCAGATGGTGTCGCGGTGCGCCAAGTTACGTTTGAGCAAAACCGTAACGGTCATCATACAAGAGCAATACCGTCGACGGCAAAGGAGAAACAGTAAAAACACACCAGACGAATGGGAGACGTTAATTTTGACATCCAAAATGGACGTGGCGGGCGAGAAAAATGCCGCTACAGCTCACAAATTCAGAGAAATATGTTTCTACAACATACTGAAAGAGCTTGAGAACAGGGGGGTCGTGCTCAAAAAACACTTCCCCGAAGTTTATTCACGATTAACGGCTTACGTGGACGGCACAAGCGATAGATTCATCCCCATGACCATCTATCCTAAGGACGTATCTAGCGGAAAGTCGTTCATGTGCATCATTATACCCGATAACGACATAGAGAGTGGGACCCCGACGGATGGTAAAGTGACCACGGTGGACGTCGGCATCGACCGCTCGCGGCATCAGCTGTCCACTCACATGTGAAGTAATGGCATAAACATTTTCTACTTACGGAATTTGAGGTATCGATCGGTAATAATAAATTTTTACAATTACAATTGGATGTATTTGTCATCGAATAAATATTCACGGTTGTCTTCTAAATCTCTAAAGGAGAATCTCTGTGTTGGTTCTAGAAAATTATGTGTAGTAAATCAGATATTTTCGTTTGCACTGTAGTCATGTGCGACTAGCCACTGATTAAATGTACTTACTAGACAATTTGTGTATGATGGATCCAATTTAGTTCAATTATTACTAAGCTTATAGTTTTTTTTTTTTTTTGCGCTAGGCAGCGGCCTGGCTCTGCCCCTGGCATTGCTGAGGTCCATGGGCGACGGTAACCACTCACCATCCGGTGAGCCGTATGCTCGTCTGCCTACAAGGGCAATAAAAAAATTATATAATAAGTTATGCAAATTTTTTTAGATATTTATTATTGTACCTTTAATTGTTGATTGTTGGGTTAACATGACATTCCGAAAGCATTTTTTATGTTTATGAATTGTTATATATTTTATGAAATGTTTTATCTTTATAACATAGAATATTAACTAAAGGTTTTTCGTATAAATATTAAATAAGACAATATTGTTTCAAGAGATCATAAGGCCGCGATGGAGATTACTGAATTAAAAATTTCATAGATTATAGCCATAAAATGCTTAAATTTTTTTTTAACTGCCTATGAAAATTGTAAACAAGTAAAAAAAATTAGAAAAAATTATAAATTATTTCTAGGTATTATATATTATGTATAAATTATAACGTATTTATATTGTCCCTTTAGATAGATATTAAATAAATAATATAAACTTCTGAAAAACCAAATTAAAGGGAGTTTGTCTTTGATCAACAATAGTTCCATTTTTGATCAAAGGATTTTAATCAAATTTTTTATTCACATATTTAAATTCGCTTTTTTAATAAATTTATATACATTTATTTAACAATACTAACGTTGTTTAGAATCTTATGATCAAAATTATATTATTTTTCAGAATATTATTACACTATCAATTTTTCAAGATTTAAATGTATCTGCATCAATTCTAAATTGTTTGAAATCATACTAAATACCTAATTCTCATGCTAATTAATGATAATAAAAAAATAAAAATGTCACGTTTCCCCACTATCTGTGCCAATAATATTACATACTAGTCATATAAATTAAAAAAAATCCTATCTTCTATTTTAAAAAAAAAAAAACATTTGCTATCTTACTTAAATAATGTAACTAAATGTACCTTAACGCAAGTTGCGCGCTATTTTCATCTTAAAATTTTTACTAATAAAAAAAAATACTTTGATAAAATTAAATGTAATGTGTACCTAAACGTAACTGCTAAATTCAAAAGACCAAATATGGAGCTTCGCCACTGTGTAAACAAAAATTGTATTACATATAAAAAATCGACAAAAACAATTGCATAAACATTTGTAATATAGTTATATCGTTCACATTTTGTAATTCGTATTTTAATGTAACCATATCATTGTTTTTCATAGTCTGAAACCTATGTTTTATCTAGTTGTTCCTGAATAACAAATAAACGACCCGGCTATTATTTGTTTTCATTATTATCTTAGTAGAGGGTTAAAACTTATTTCACAAAAGCAGAAAAAACTGTTAAATGGTCACTGGAGACATATTTAATTGTTCACGGGCCACCTGGTGTTAAGTGGTTACCGGAGCCCATAGACATATACAACGTCAATGTTGTAAGGTCTCAATTTTAACAGTACAACGGCGTCCTCACCCTCCAAACCAAATACTACTTCATGGCAAAAATAGGCAGGGTGGTGGTACCTACCCGCGCGGACTCACAAGACGTCCTATCACCAGTAATTACGCAATATTTATTCCGTAAATGAGTGAATGAGCACGGAAATCTCAAATGTGCCTTATTACACTTAGTTTAATGCCGCGAGCCATCTTGCGGCATGAGGTTAGAGTATCCGTTGCTTGTAGCTCCGGCCCCTATGCGGAGGCAGTCTCCTCCCGGTTATGGTCACGGGGCGACCTAAGGAGGTTGAGGCTGCGCCGCACGCTATCGTCACTCTAGCGCGCTGGCACCAGGAGGACGGAACGACGCGTCGGTAGCTGCGGATTGCGATGCGGTCCGCATTGTCATCGTCGCTGTCGTCGCCGAACAAACTGTGGAAGCGCAACCCGGTCGGCTGGTTTTGGCCCAGCGGGGTATCCCGGAACACCAGCGGCATCGCCCGGGCGGCCTGGCAGGGTGCCGTACCGCGGAGACCGGCGTCGCTGGTCGTCGACTATCGTCTTGACGACCCGTCGGTCGGGCTTCTTCGGGGTGGTGGACGTGTCTGGTTGAAGTGTTGACCGCGGGAACCCCCCTACTCTGACCGGGTTTTGACACCGGACAGAGATCGGACGTCGGGTGTAAGAGTGCAGGGGAGTCGTTTAGTGCGGTAGGGCCCTAAAATTCCTTGGGCCCGCGCCTGCTCCTAACACCTTGCAGATCGTCAAGTCCCACATACCACGCGCGCCCCCTCTGCGCGGGGACCTCGTAGGAAGTTCGGCCCCCGGCCCTATACGTTAGCCATAATTACCTATATTATAACATGAACGACGTCGCTGTCTTTGAAACGTAAAATCAAAGTCTCAATTACATTGTAACCCTTAACCAGAAGCATTGCCTTTTTGACATGTTAAACCTATACGGGCTCTCAATGCTCCGACGTGATACTGGTAATATTACTGTTCCGGCACACGATGTTATTTTTTATGTTTGCTTAGAAGGACAGATGACTTACATGTCCATCAAGAGCAAAGAGCTGAGACCACACACATCACCTTTAATAAGCGTCTTAATTGCTAGGTCACAATGGTTGTAAGTCATTAAACTAACCAGTATAGACAGTGCAATCGTCGGCTTGTAAGAGATAAGACGCGAGCAGGCAAGCTGAGCTGCATAAGCTAAACTATGTAGTTTAAAGTAATGTAATATGGCAAACTAACGAGGACTGACGTATGTTTGTTTTCAATTGTACACCAAATCACGTGCATACTTCGCAATAGAATTCTTTTCAATTATTTCATTTGATATATTTAAAATTCCTTCACTAGCTAACTACACTGTTCCCGCCACTTTAGCAAGTTTCCATAAATAGTTTTCAATGAAAATTCTATTGAAAATGATTTTGAACTGAGTTATTGCTCAGTTCAAAATTATATAATTATTTTAATTATCATTCTTAAATAAATACAAAAAATATTAACTTATGTACTCTTTTTCGTGTGATTCATGTGAGTTTTTTATTCTATTTCAGAACGAAATCTTTGACCTTTGCCCGAATGACATTTGTATTACATCAGCTGACAAATTACAAAACTCGTAGGTATTCATCGAAAACACAGTAGAGGTGATAAGACTGAACATTGTTTAGGTATTTAATTTACAACTACCATTAAGTACTGATTCGTTTTATATTAAAAACATGGTGTCGGCTCCGGTGATTTATGCAGCAGTGCCCATCTCAGTAGTAGTGGCGATTGGATTAATACGTAAACTGAGATCCAGAAATTGGGGCAAATGTACTAGTAATACATGTCTGAGAGGCAAAACCTTTCTGATAACCGGTGCAAACAGTGGTATCGGACTTGAAACAGCTAAAGCCTTGGTTAAAAGAAAAGCCCGCGTTATCTTTGCATGCAGAGACATTGCAAAGGCGAAAGAAGTTATTGCCGCAATACGAGAGGAACAGCCAAATGGTGGTGAAATGGTAAAATATCATTTTTATATTGATAACTTTTACACAAACGTAAATTTGGTAAAATTAATTAAAAATAAAATTCAGTATTATTTCTTACATATTCTATTTATTCCATTATATAATTAAAGCCATTTTTATGAAGATATTGTTACTCTCTTACTTTTAGATTCCAATGCAGCTTGACCTCTCGTCATTTGAATCTATAGAAAATTTTGTGGATATTATAAAGGCTGGTTTCCATAAAATAGATGTCCTTATAAACAATGCTGGTGTTGTTGTTCCTTTGAATCAAGATGAGAAGACAAAAGAAGGATTTGAAATACATTTTGGTGTGAACCACCTAGGCCACTTTTATCTTACTAATCTTTTGTTAGACCATTTGAAGAGGGCTACTCCAAGTAGGTAGGTATTTAATATCTTATTTACTGAGGTTTTTATATATTAACTAACATATGAGTCGACTATTATCAAAGCCGACAATGTGACTTTTGGACAATTATTGGTAAATCAGAAAAACGAATTATTGACTTTGTATTCCATTGGCAGTCACGAAACTCTTCTGAACGACATCTTAGATAAATAACAGGTTAAGTATTAACCTTTATTTAATGCAGGTTTTGAACCGTATTCTTTGAAGGAGACGATTATATTCAAATCAATCTGTATTGACATATCAATAACATTNGAAAAACGAATTATTGACTTTGTATTCCATTGGCAGTCACGAAACTCTTCTGAACGACATCTTAGATAAATAACAGGTTAAGTATTAACCTTTATTTAATGCAGGTTTTGAACCGTATTCTTTGAAGGAGACGATTATATTCAAATCAATCTGTATTGACATATCAATAACATTTTTTTGTTCAAATGCACAGATTGCCATCTTTGATAATAGACGACTCATATTAACTATGTTCCTTGCTACTTTTAGCAGTATAATGCTCATTAATAGAAAGTCAAGTCGTCATGGCCAAAGGATAAGATGTCCGGTGTATTCATATGTAGCGATGCACCGGTGTTCTAATCCCACAGGCGGGTACCAATTTTTCCATTGAAATATGTACTTAACAATTGTTCACGATTGATTTCCACAGAGAAGAAATAACATTGTGTAATAAAATTCAAACCCGCAAAATTATAATTTGCGTAATTACTGGTGGTAGGACCTCTTGTGAGTCCAGGCAGGTAGGTACCACTACCCTGCCTATGTATGGCAGCCGTTGTAACTATACTGAGACCTTAGACTTCATATCTCAAGGCGAGTGCCGGTATTTACGTTGTAGATGTCTATGGGATTCAGTAACCACTTAACACCAGGTGGGCTGTGAGCTTGTCTACCCATCTAAGCAATAGAAAAAAATAATAATTAACAATTACCAAACTAAATATTCACCATGGATAAATATGACAGTTTTATAAGTTAAATTATGTTTGATTTTACACACATTTTGTAAAGAATAAACCATTGCCTATTTTTATTTTGAAGAATATAAAAAATCCACTTTTTGTAATACATATAATATATGTTTTAGACAGCATTATTCCTTATGGTAGTTATAGACAAGTGGTACTATGTCGCAATAACTTAACAGATTCACACAGGGATTGAAATTAGGGCAGTTAACACATATGAAACATACAAAAGTACCAGACTAAATGTGCTAATGACTTCCTTGTGCTTCTCTACCTGTTGTATTGTTGTATATTGTTTTGTGAATCACAAGACCAAAAGTGAAGATCAATTCAAAATCAATAAAAACATTGTGAATGCAAATAATTGTAAATGAAAACATAAAGAAATACACGCTAATTTATTAAAACATTTAATTGGAAGAGTTTTTGATCCTCCACAGATTCACGTTCAATCATTTTATTCATAGATTAAATTAAAGCCATCCATGGAAATTCAACTCAGGCGGTGTTTTAGGGAGCATTATCATAACATGTCAGGACCTTTGTCCACAATTCTTGTTATAGGACCTATGTAGAACTTGTATTGATCTGGATTAAATGACTTAGATTTTCCCTAGGGCAGACTTCTAGGCCTCTATAAGGTAATTGGTTTTATTTTCTTGATTTTTTTACAAAACTGCATTGTTAAATTTCCATTTCAGAATTGTAATCGTGTCTTCAACGTTACACGAAAAAGGAAAAATCGATTTTGACGACCTAAACTTAAGGTCGGAAATAGAATTAGCGAAAAAAGGCAAAAGCGGTCGTCACAACCCCGGTTATTGTAACTCCAAACTAATGAATGCATACTTTATGAGATCACTAGCTGCAAAATTGAGAAATTCTGGGGTCGATGTCAACGCATGCTGCCCAGGATTCTGTTACACGAACTTATTCAGGTAAGTGTAAGTTAATGACCAACATTCAAAAAACGAATAAGAGTACTTTTTTTTGATAGCTTAAGAAGTTATCCCAGCTACGGCCGAACGGGTAGGTGAGCTCACGGGCTCAACCTGAGAGAATTTGCTAACACTAGCCCTAGCAAGAGCAGTGCTTTGAAGAATCTACCACCGAATCGAAATCACGACCCACTGAGAAGATCCGACGAGAAACTCATTTAAATCATTTGGAATAGCAAATATATTTTGCAAATTTTTCGTCAAAATTATCAGACATTTTTAAGAAAATCAAGGCTGATTTGATGTTTTTTTTTACTCGTATAATTTGAACTAAATATTCATTACCTACTTTTGGTTGCCATTAACGTTACTATTTTATTGTATTGTATGTAAATACATTACGTAATCAATTTTAGTATGCTCGTACTAGATTGTTCGAAGGTTACGTGTCGCTGGACGTGTGTGTAGAATATTTAATAATATTCGTTACTGAACGTTGCATTATTATATGCTGCGGCGAGTTCTGCGCTGACCAATGTCTATAGCAGGGGTGTCCAACCGGTAGATCGCGATCGTCCGATCAATCATGGCTAATAGTTCAGTCGCTCGTGGCAAGATAAAAAATATAAATACATAGAACAGACTGCGCAACGTAATCACCAATTGCTGCACGCATCATCTTCATCCTGTATCATTTGTTAATGACAATAGTTCTCTTTTAATATATAATTTCAGTTTTATGTTAATCTTTTCAATAAAAGAAAATATACTACTTATTTGTATACTGAACTACATTGTTTCACTAAATTTCAAGAAATGTCATTAGTAGATTATTAGTATTACGTCAGTAAACAGTAGATCTTGGTTCTAATCAAGTTGGCCACCCCTGGTCTACACAAGAAGTTTTCGGCCATAAAATTTGCATACATTTACGTAATTACTAGTTGTAGGATATATGCATATATTGTGTATGCACCGCTATCTGCTTTGCCGCAGATAAGATAATGATTACAATGAAATTGAGAATTCCATTTTTATGTTTCAAAATCTATCCAATAAACAATTGGCGGACCATGAATGTGTATTCTTGTCAACGTCAAAAAAAATTTATATACAAAATAGAGATGACCCATTTTTTAAATCTATTTTCGCATCCAGCGCTATTTTGGTATCGATTTCTGAAGTTCCCCTAACAATCCGCTTGAAAAAAAATATATACTATTCTCGTCCCATGCATGTTCTGAACGCATTTTTATGTAGCTATCTCAATAGTTCGCGTTTGTTATACGAACTTTTTTTTGTTTTATAATCGCACGTGCTGTTTCGTTTATGTTTAGTTTGTAGAGCGTAGGACTGTATGGGATCCAATAACGCAAAATAAGCCCACGAACGTACTTAGTTTGTGGACAATTACCCAGACTAAATTAGCTTCTTTTTTTCTCTACCCATTCGTTGGTAGCTTAAGGGACTATTCCAGCAATGCGCGTACTTGACTAAATTAACGTTCCCTAATTAAATTAACGTTTATAACGAACGTTTAAAAAATGACGCTGTTACGAAAAACGCCTATGGATTTACTCGAGATTAAAATCATGGAATAGGTTATTTCCTCGTATAGTTACTCGTGTATAAATTTAAGTTTGGTCGAATCCACCCTTAGTTTTGTAGCTTAAACAATCTTAGACAAACTAACAGATCAGTTCTTGGTTGCATTTATCACGGGTCCTTTTTTTATACGTGAACAATATCTACGGATATTATTATTAACATTAAATTACAAATTAATTAAATAATGTTCCAGATATTCGGTAAAATGGTACCACTACATTATGATGGCGCCAATCTTTCTTCTTTTCATGAGATCGGCTAAACAGGTTGGTATGAAGATTATTTGACTTTGAATTGAATATTTTCGAAATAGGTACAGAGGAGTATTTTTTTTTTTTTTTTTTTTTTT